TCAGGTCGCTGTTAGGTGAGTCTAGTCCAGTTTCTGGGGGCTCCCCGGCTTCCTCACTGGTGCTAGCTAGAAGAAGACTTTGTGGGTGGCCCAGGGCACAGGGGGCTGCAGTGTGGGTCAGAAGTGGCTGAAGCCGGGAACCCGGGGACCTCTCCTGTCGGGTGTTATCGGGGGCACTGCAGACTCCTGACTTTGGAATTCGATACCAAATAGTGACATCTCTGTGTGATAAGGGACAGGCCCCCAGTGATAGGGAGTGGGGCAAGGGGCTTGGGCACCCCCACCCCACGTCAAGTCTCCTCTCCTCAGCCTGCTGGGTCCGGAACCCCGGTCTAGCCCTCTGCCTTGACTCCCTCTCAGTCCGCAGGGCCCAGGTCCTGGAGGGCTTTCTGTTACCCCTCCCTCCTGCTCGCCCCAAGCTGTTCTCTCGCCCTCAGCTCCTGGAAGCTCGGGGGCAGGGGGTGCTCAGCCCTAGGCCTGGAGGTTATCCAGCCCTGGCCCCGGTATCCCTGGGTCCCCTCCTGGTTCTAGAAGCTCCTACCTGTGTGGGTAGTGAGGGGGCACCTGTAGGGAGGAGGCACAGGGCGGGAGCCACTGCAGGTCAAAGATCTGCTGGGCGCACACATGACCTGCTGTGCGCTGAGCCCCATTAATGTTTACCCAGGAGCCGGGGCCCCCCAGGTACCTGCTGTAGCCCCAGGCGCCGGCCTTGTCCAGGTCCCACTGTCACCCTAGGGCCGGCACTCCATGCCCCCAGCCCAACCCTCCTGGAGTGGGATTTCTCCCTGGACGGGCCCCCAGCCAGGCCAGGGGCATTGCAGGGCTGGGCACCGGCCATTAGTGCTGGACTTCCACGAGTAGACGCCTGTGGAACACTACTGGACACTGCATGTTGCCTGCCCGGCTGGTTGGCTGGGGGCCCCTTGAAAAGTCTGCCCCAAGCTCTGCAGACCTTATCGTGGTCGTCCCTTTCCTGGTCAGAGGGCAGGAGGGAAACCATTTGTGCCAGGTGGGCAGGGAGGGCACCAGCCCCGGAGGTCATCCGGTTCAGATCCGGGTTCAGGGCAGGGCTGGGCCCTTCAGAGCTCCCAGGGGTAGAGGGCATCATGTCTCCATCTGCAAGTAGGGGGAGGGCAGGGCCCCTCCCCCAGGCCATATTGCTACCCAGCCCCCTGTCCAACCCCACCTGGACCAGGAGACTCAGCCCACCTCCTCCTCTCCCGAGCTGAGTCCTGACTGGCTGCATCGCTTGTGGGATGCCCCTTCTTGGGGTCAGTCCTCTTCCTGCTCCCAGGATGCTGGGAGGAAGAGCTGCCCCTGCTGTGGCCAGCCCCTCCCCCTCCTCCTCGGACTTGGTCTCCCCAGGGGGTCTGCTGGCCCAGCACCCTGCTCGCTGCCCCCCTCCATCGCTGTGTGCCTGGGAGACTTTGCCCCAGGGAAGGAGGAGGTTTCAGAGTGTTCTCTCAGCAAATTCTCTCATCCCTCCCCGTCTTGGCACCCACTGCCCAGGGCAGGCCCTGCAGTCCCTCCCAGGGGCCCCTGAGTGACAGCTGCTGCCTAGTTGGGGATGGAGATGTTGCAGCCTGACTTGGGGGGTGTCTGCGTCCATAGCCTCCAGCACCTACTCTGGCCCCTCTGAAGGGGCTGTGAGGTGGTCACTGGGAGGCAGAAGGAAGCTGAGGGCCAGGAAAGGGCCCAGCGTAGGAGCAGCCGTACTGAGCTGTGTGACCTCGGGCAGGTCCCCACCCTCTCTGGGCCTAGAGCTGGTCCTGCCGAGGGTCCTCTCCTTGGACACCAGCCACAGCAGTGACTTTGTGCCTACAGGGGACCTCCCAGAACACCGCCTGACACATGTGGGAGCTCAGTGAGCTTTGTTGAGTGAATGAACTTCACAGGCTGCTTTGCAGGCCAGGGACGAAGGAAGTGGCTCTTCCTCCGTTCCCAGCTCACACCTCAGGGACGTCTTATAGGGGAGGGGAGACCTCCAGGAACAGCCCTGGCCTGGCCCTGCTCCTCGAGTCTGCAGCCTGGGCCCCGAGGACCGGCCACCTGACCCTTTCACGAGGGGCAGTCCGGGCCCGGGCTGGCCTTACGGGCGACTCCGACAGCAGCGCCCCCACCCTGCGCAGTCAGGCTAGCTCTGGGAAGCCTGGCCAGGAGAGGCAGGCAGTCACCCACAGGCTCACGGTGCTATGGGCACAGGCCCCAACCTTAGGCTGTGGCATGGGGGTGTCCACCTGGGGCGGCACCGGGCGCTTTGCCCCCAGGCTGTCTGGGCGGGCCGGGCTGCAGTCAGAGGTCCTGATGCCGGCATGCTGCGGGCAGCAGCTCCTCTGCCAGGAGTGGCTGCAGTGGAGCTCAGACCTCGGGGCTGCCTGGGGGCTCCCAGCAGAGGTTGCCGCAGCCCCAGCAGCAGCATCTGGGCTGGAAGAAGTGGGGCTGGGGGCCCAAGGTGGGGCAGAGCCTGGCTGGCTGCTGAGTGATGGCGGTGCCACCTTTAAGGGGCGCAGGGGGCTGGGGCTCCACGCGAGACGGCTCCTGCTCGGCCTTGACTGCCAAGAAGGCGGCCAGGTCGAGGTCCAGCATGGCCACCCCTCCACGGGGCGTGGGCGTGCTCTGGCGGCATTGCGGGCAGGGGATCCAGCGCTGCTCGTGGGCCCGCGTGTCCAGATGCCGCACACACGCCTGGCAGAAGGTGTGGCCACAGTAGAGGCGGCGCGGCAAGTGCCTGGTGAGGTCGTAGGCCGAGTAGCAGATGATGCAGTCACCCCGCCGAGTCTCAGCAGCTGTCCCCTCCTCGGAGATCCGGGGACTGTCTGTCTGAAGCATCCTGGGAGGCCGTGCAGGGGAGCTGCAGCCGCCCCGCCTGCCTCTGCGGCTGCCCTGCGTGGTCGGGGCCCCGACACTGGGAGCCCGCCCCAGGGGACAGGAGTCCAGGCCTCTGCAGACCTGGGAGGGTGGGTGGTGGCCGGTGGGGCCAGCAGACGCCAGGGTCTGAGCACAGCCTGGGTTCCCGTGGGTCCATGGCCTTCCTGCTCAGCCCCAGGCCCCACCCATCCCAGCCGGCCTGAGCCCCAGGGCTCTCTTACCTGCTTCTGCTCTGCTGGGTGGCTGTGCCCAGCCAGAGGGTGGCCAGGGGTGGGGGGAACCCAGGGCGCTCTGCGGCTCCCTCGCTGGGGCTTGCGTTACTGGCTGAGCTCGGCCGAGTCAGCAGGGAGGCAGGTGGTAGCTGTGGGCAGGCGTGGGCTCCCCTTTCAGCCACAAAGCGCTTGCAACTGGATCCACCAGCACCACCATCGCCACAGGAAAGAAGGCACCCCCCTCTCAGTCCTGCCCGGCCCCTCCGTGCCCAGACCCAGGCCTGGCTTTGCCGTTCTGCTCTCCACGGCGCATCTTCTCACCTTGTCTACCCAGACCAGCCCCCACTCACACTCCCCCCCGCATGCTGGGAAAGCTTTTCGCCTCATCCTGGGTGACACATGTTCTTCAGCTTTCATTGCAAGTGTTGCCTTCTCCAGGAAGCCTGCCAGGACCCCCACCAGCTAAGACCCCCGACGGGCCTGCTCCTCTGCAGCTCAATCACAGCGTACATGTCCGTGTTGCTTTGTCCTGTCCCAGCCTCTTCATCTCTGCCTGGGCTGGGGCTGTCACGTTCCCATCACAGGGCAGCGGCTAGCCATGCAAAGCCCCAAGGGGGCGCTCAAGCACAGGTGTGGAGATCCCCACTCACACCCAGAGACCACCCAGATGCTCTCTGAGGCACAGGGCACTGTGGCTGCCCCACTCAGAGACCACCTCCCCTGGCATCTGTCTGGCTGCAGCTCCGGGGCCAGCCCAGTGACTGGGCACAGCAGAATGAGGTATGTGAAGATGGTCGGGATGGGGTCAGGACCCCCAGGACCCTCACCACCTGGCAGGGAGAGAGCCAAGGGCCAGAGCGGCCCTTCCTTAATCCTAGTACCCTGGCAGTCTGCAGCCTCCCGGACTGGTCAGACAGGTTTCTGTGGCTGCCCTGGGTGGGGTCATCCTCTGGTGGGGGCCGGGCACGGTGCAGGGGCCGGGACTCTGGCACATGAGTCCCTGTACAGTCAGGCCAATGACATGTTCACTCCCACCCAGAGACTGGTCCTGCCGTGTGGCCAGTCACCATGGGTCAGAGGAGGGCTGGCACCAGGACCTGTCTGTCCTGCGAGGCCAGCTCAGCCTCCTCCTCCAGCCCTCTCTGCCTGGCCCCAGAAATGACAGGGTGCCCAGCGCTGGCCTCATCGCTCGCTCCTTGCCTCAGCATCCTGGCCTCACCCCCGCGGTGAGGCAAGGCCAGCGCTCAGCACCTTAGCTCCCGCACGTCCCCCTGAGCAGGCGTGCAGTGCTGCTCAGACAGACGAAGGGCCAGGCCCAGCCCAGTGCCTTCTCTGCCCACCTCCTCTAGGAAGCCCAGGTCCCGGAGGCAGGACAGTGGGTGAGCAGCATAGCCCGGGTGCCACACTGCAGATGTTCAGAAATTGGATGTTTTGAGGGAAACCAGAAAAATGCCCCAGCTTCGGTAGGGCGGTGACTCACAGGTGGGCAGGGCTTGGTCCTGGCTGCCTGGGCTCCCACTCCCAGAAACCTGCCAGCACCAGTCCCACCCACCACAGTCCCGCCAACCTCATCCTCCTCCCAGAGGCCTTTCTCGGGGCTCCATGCCCCGGTTCCATGCACGGCATCTTCCTGCTGTCTGACCCCCAGACGGCCCTGTCTCCCAGGTTCGGCCTCAGCCCTAGGGAAGGCAGGATAGCTCAAACCCAGGCCTGGCCGGGCCAGGGCAGGGGAACACACTCCCGCCCCTCCTGTCCAGCCTCTGGGCAGGCCTGAGACCTGCAGTGCAGCTTAGGGTGTCATGAGGCAGCAGCTTCCCCACCCCTAAACTCCCACAGAGGCTGGGGGCCTGTGGTCGGTCCAGTCCGGGATGCCCCACAAAGAGGGCAGCAGCAAAGAAGAAGAGTCACCAGAACAAAGCTCCCTGTGCTTTATTGCCTGGGGCCTGGGCCTGGAGGGAGGTGGTCACGGGTGTCCCTAGGGCTGCCATCATGACCAGTGCCCAGGGCTCCGTTTCAAGGGGCCAGAGCTGAGATGTTGGCCTTCTTGGCAGGTAGGTGCCCCTGTCCAGGGTGGGAGGTGGCTGATGCCCATGGCAGTGGCCCAGTGGCTGCCCCAAATGTCCAGGCGCTCCTATGGCCGCCTGAGCAGAGGCTGGGGCCTGTCATGCCAGGGGTCCTGTGGCAGGCCCCATGGCCCAGTGAGAGCCGGGCTAGGAGATGACACAGCAGCAGCTGTGGCAGCGGCAGAAGCGAGGGCAGTGGCAGCAGGAGCAGCAGGGGCAGCAGCAGCAGTGGTGGGCGATGTCATCGCCGTGCCCGATGGGCGGCAGGCCAGCATAGGTCAGTCCTGTTGGGCGCTGCCCACTGCCATAGGGGTTGCCTGGCTGCTGCCAGGCCTGCTGGCCCTGGACAGGGGCAGTCCCCTTGGCCCCCTTGGCGCCCTTGGGCCCTAAGGCATCCTCTGTGGGCTGCAGGAGTCTGGTGGGCTCTGGGGTGCAGGACTCCACAGGCAGAGGCTGTGGCTCCAAGGAGGGAGCCACCTCCAGCTGCTGCCCCAGGTCAGGCCGCAGGTGAGCCCGGGGGATGCTGATGTGGGTATACGGGTTCTTGACGACCATCTCATGGGGGTCCATGGCCCAGCCTGGCAGGGGAGGGCAGGGGAGACAATATCGGCTCAGTGGAGGGGAACGGCTGCAGCCCAAGAAAGCCCACCCTGGGAAAAGCCAGGCTGTGGAGACACCAGAGTGTGCAAGACCTGTGTGCCAGTGTGTGTGTGCGTGGAGTGAGCCGACCGTGAGAGAGAGGGCCAGTGTCTCCTAGCCGCCCCCCAAGTGTCCTTCCCCTCCTTGAGTGGTGGTGCCCTGCCATGAGCTGGGAATGGCTGGAGACACAGCTGAGCTCGTCCCAGGGGGGAGCCCAGTGCAGGGAAGCCCCTTGGCCCAGGACCCACCTGACGTGGCGATGGCAGCAGTCTCTCCTCTCCTCTGCTGGGCCAGGTCCCCGTGCTTGTGAGCTGAGAGACCGGCAGCCGCCTTTTCCCTCCTAGGGAGGGGCGGGGCCGCGGGGCCATAGGGCGGGGCTCAAAGATGGGGTTCCCAAGATCTCAGGAGGCCCCAGCTCCTGCACAGCGGCTGCCCACCCTTGCTTCTCTGGTGGGTGGCAGCCACCAGCCCGGGTGACTCAGCCTCAACGCATCTGGAGTATGTCCTGGGCCTTCCAGAGATCTGCAGTTTGCCAGGAAGGAAGGCAAGAGGTGAGCCTGGGGTCAGGCCCTCAGATGCCAGGCCTGCAGGTGGTCTGGGGACCCTAGCCATCACGCACACCTCAGAACCCCTGCTTCGAGGCAGAGGGCAGAGGTCCTCGCTGCGACCCACAGCCTCTACCCGGCAGACAGAGACCAAGATGGTGGGAGCAGACTACTCGGAGGTTTGCTGTTTTTTTAACTAATAAAAAATGTTTGATTTACACACCTTTGCCGATAAAACTTATCTTACAATTGGCGACATGGGCTTCATGCACAAATGACGTTTCCAGCTCATTTCTGAAACCACACTTTCCCTCTGGTTGGCGGGCTGGGGGGCACAAGTCCGCCCCAGGGTCCCATCCTCGGCCCTCGCACCCCCTCCCACCTTCATCTGTAAGGCGGCGCGGAGCGTTAGCCACACAGGGTCGCTGTGTGTAGGGTGGCAGTGGCTGTGAGCACTGGGCTCCGGGCCTGGCACTGGTGAGCTCCTCCTGGGGTGACCGGGGCAGTGGGGTGCGGCCCGGACCCGCACCCCTCGTCTTTGGCGCCCGGGGGAACCCCCAGGACGGGCAGGATCAAGTCGGACGTGGCCCAGAGGCCAGGGTGACTGGGCTGGCATGTGTGCGGCCGGTTAGACCTGTCCAGACATGAGTTCTACGATGCAGCACCGGATGTGGGGGGAACCCAGCCCGGGACCCCGTATTTCAGAGGTGGACGACAGAGGCCCACTGCGCAGGCGCCGGAAACCCTGCCCACCGCCCCTGCAGACTCCGCCCCTTGCTGCGAGGCGGAGGATGGCGCATGCGCGAAACAGGACTAGGGCCGCCGGTGGGAACTTTATTCCCCAGAAGCCTCCGCGCTCGAGGGTTTCCCTAAAGACCCGGTTCGGGGTCTGCTGGCCTCGGACGGTCCAGGACCGAGCTTGGACCGCCCCAGCTCTGCAGGGCGGGCTCGGGGCGGGGGAGTGTGGGGCGCTGCACAGGGTCGGACCTCATCCCTAGGGCGGGGTGGGGCCTCGGGCGAGGGGTGGGGCAGGGTGACTGGTCCCTCCTTGGGTGAGAGCCCAGGGTCGGTGGGGAGCAGACCCCGTGGCCCAGGCTGACTCCCAGCCGTCCCCTGGCCGGGGCTGCCTCAGTTGCCCACCTTCATGCCAGGGCCCCATAAAGCCCTCGCTGTCCCTTCCGCCGGGCGCCTGCTCTCGCTGAATGGCCGAGGAAACAGGCCCAGACACTAGCCCGAGGTCACATAGCGGCCACGTCAGGCCTATGCGGCAGGGACGCTCCTCCAGCCTGTTCTGCACACGCGGGCTCCCTCACCAGGAACACCGACCTCTCTGGGCTCGGCTGCCCTGCAGGACCTGGGGCTGGGCCTACAGCCAGATGCAGCCTGGTCTGTATGGAGGAGAGGGAGCTGTGGCCAGAAGGGACTGGACTGTCCAGGGTCAGGTGCAGGGCCCAGCGCTGGTGTGGCGGCCGTGGCAGGGACAGCACTCTGGAGGCCCCCGCAGCCCTGGCCCCCTGGCCCGTCGTTGCCAGCATGTCCTTCCTCCCCTTCTCACCTGAGGGCTCCCCACAGACAGAGTGCATCCCAGGGGAGCGGGGAAGCCTGACCTGACCAGAAAGCAGAAAGGAATGGAGCCTCTGCTGGGTGGGGTCAGGTGAGCACACAACTATGTGGCAACGGGACACGTGCTGACCTGATGGGATGCCGGAAAAGGCCACCCCACCCTGGGTAGGTGCGTGTCCTCCGTGGGCTGCCCCACTGTGGCCCATCTAGCCCTCTGTTTGACCTTCCGCATACCCCTCACCCCACCCATCTGTCCAACCGTCCTGTCTTGGGAGCCTTCTCCCAATCACGGTCCCTCCCTCCCTCCACTCCTCTGATATCTGCTTGCCCACCCCCTCCCATCCTCTAATGGTCACATCGTCTGGGGACAGCCTGGGTGCACCTGTGAGCAGGAACACTCCAGAGGCATGACCACTAGGGGGAGAGTGGAAGGACAAGCAGAGACCCTGACTCCGGGGGGGACGCAAGGCAGTACCAGGGTGGGGCCCTGGGAACCAGCTTTCCTGGGACCACCTCTGGGCTCCCTTCCTCTTCCTCCCTCTGGCATTGTGAGGCCTCCGGCTGCGAAAAGCAGGATTTCCCTTCCAGAATTGCAGGGGAGGCTTGACTAGCACCCAGGGTCAGCCAGGCGTGAACCGGGTGGGGAGGGCTGGAGCGGGGGGCACGCAGGGGTCCGCGGCGGATCGAGGGGTGGCCGAGAGACTGGCCCCGCCCCGCGGACCCCGCGCGGGTCCCCAGACAGGGGGTGGCGCTGCGGGCGCGGGCGGG